TTCATTCCAAAACAATACATATAATAACTGTTACAATAGGAAGTTAAAAAACTAATAAATCAAAACTTAAACTAATAACTAACTATTCTCTCATCCTCTTTTTTTTTCTCTTTTTTTCCTCTCTCCTACTTCCCTTTTAACGTCTTCTCTTTCTTATTCCTTTTTTTCTCTTTCTTCCTCCCTTTCTTCTTCTGCANAAACAGAAGTTCAATAAAAAAAATAGCATAACACCTATCAAACAACATAAAATCAACAAGGAATAAACATAAGTTCAATCAAATTTTTGACGGCATTTGCACGAAAAATAGAGAAAAAGTACATAAAATCAAACACCCAAAAATCAGGTTATTAACATATCCTGCAAATGATGATTGAAAATTAACTAAAAATCACTCGATAAAATAATATAAACATGCAAAACCAAATCTAAACACATTGCACGAAAAACAGAAAAAAAAACAACAACTACCTAAAACTGTCAATGTCCTCAAAATCACCAAACCCATTGAAGGAAAATCTATACTTATATTAAAAGGTATACCATTTACTAGATTTAGTATAAAGAAAAGTCAACAACATTTATTGCATTACTATTTCCGTATTATACAATCTATACTTATATAAAAGGAGATTCTATTTACTATATTTACTATCCAGAAAGCCAACTGCATTAAATACCATTACTATTTTGGTATTATAATATTTTATTTATTTAATTGATTTATTTATTTGTTTTATTTTAAAAAGGTAAGTATAATAAAAAGATTTTAATAATAAAAAAATCAAATACCAAATAAAAACGTACACTTTGACTTACTTGATTATACTAGTGTGTACCCCGTGCGATACACGGGAACAATATTATAAATAGATCTCGAGTTTGAGTCATTGACGGAAGTGAAAACTACTATTGATCCTATTTAAAAAGAGAAAGAAAAAAAAAATAATTATAAAGTAAAGAGGAGGATAAATAATACTTAATAATTATAAATTAATGATTCGGGGTCAAACAATGTAAAACTATTTTGTATAAGAAAATATGAAATTTACATTATTTTGTATAAGAGAATATAAAATTTGCATGTTTATAATTAAAAACACCTAAAATATTATATTAGTATATATGTAAAAGTATTCAAAATTTTCTATATTATTTTTGAAAGATGTGAAGTCATCTACAACTTTTCTAAACAATTTTAGAAGGAAAACATATCTAAGAACATTTGAATTTAACATTGTGTAAAAAAAAATTTTCTAGACTATTTTGTAAAGAAAATATGTCTATATTTAAATTTAATATGTGTATATGTACATATATATATATATATGCGTATGTTTTGTATAGTTTTTTAGAGATAATAATTCAACACGTGTATTTGTTTTAGGAAATGAATAACAAACTTAATATCAGTTTTGAATAATGATAAGGTGTATGAAATATCTTCTCCTTATAATAAGATTTTGTTTTTGAATCTTAAAATTATCCCCGATATCTTCTCTTTATAATACGATTTTTTTTCTTCAATTTATCGTTAAAAAAATATGTTTAAAAGGGTTACCATAAAAAAAATATGTGATAAGGATGCTCGTGTGAAATGGAATTATCTCGTTACTATAAAAAATTATGCCATAAGGACGCTATTAATGAGGCGTGCGCTAATATGAAAAGGACATAAATGCTGAGCCGTGTGAAATGGACATGATAAGGACGCTATTAATGAGGCGTGCGCTAATGTGAAAAGGACATAAATAGTTACCGATTTTGGAAAGCAATAAATGCAAAACTGACTTTGACCATTAATTAAGTTACTAATTTTGATAAATGTTAATTCTTATTATATAAGTATAGATTTGGTATTTGATTATACCAAATATACTCCTATTTAGTATATACATTAAATACTTACTAAAGTATTTATTTGTTTTATTTGTCAAAGTTAAGTATAGATTTGTTTATATTATCAAATCATAAAAAAAAGTATTAAATCCATATTGTAAAAAAAAAATCATATAATTTTATAACAATTCTACTACACTATTTAACAATATTTTTTTTTATTATGTAATAAAATAATAATTAAATATTATATGGTGAACAACAATAAGTAAAACTATTACTTTCTCTTATATCAAGGGATAAATTTATATGCTAAAATTAAATTTTTATGAGTACAAATGTTTTAGTGAGATAATATATTAATTATTTTACAAGCTAGCCCTAACATGCTCATATTTAATGTTTTAAAAGATGTAGAAAAAAAACTTATAATAACTCTATTGTTTTTTAGACTTAAACGTTGATTAAAAGAGGTAAAAATTCTTAATTTTTTAGACTTAAATGTTGGTTAACACCATAGATTGAGAGTTTATATTTAGTAAAATTCCTAATTGTAATAAAAAAATTAATTTTTGCTATATTTTAGAATATCTTTAAATTCATTATAAAAAAAAAAAAAGAAAAAAAACTACAATGAAAAAGCAAGTCAGCTATAGATCGATTTGTTGTACTCCTCAAATCACATTCACAATTTGGCTACAAGGAAAGGAAACTCATTGATCTAAAATATTATTTTGTCAGTAGTCTTAATGTACAAGAGACTCTAAGACTCCGCTTGAATATTATAAAACTTTTATTGAACATTGTACAATTTTCTTGCGTATTATAAACTTTTATTGAATATTGCATCTTATAATATAATATTCTCCAAATAAATATATCTCGTGCTTGGCACGGGTCACGTACTATATATATCCCGTACATTTTTCTTTATTCATGTATATAATTATAAGCCTGGATAAATAACCTTAAAATTGTACACCCCGTGCATCGCACGGGCTCTGTACTAGTCACTTTTCTAAGCCGTCGATTAGGAGTAGATCGAGGGTGGTAATTCATTCTTTTATTAATATTGCGGATCGTGGTTTTTTTATTTTAAAGGACTTCGGAATTCGGGAGGTAGACGGCACCGGAGGAGGCATGGCGGCTGAGGGAGGTTTTTGCAGAAGAAGGATTCTATCGAAATTTTTGGGATGTAGATTTGGAGTTGGAAAAAATAGATCTGAGAGAAAGAGAATATGAGGGAGATAAAAAAGAATGAAATTGGGGGAAAAGAAGGAACCAAATAAGATAGGTTAGACACGTTCATTTAAGAGAGAGAAATAAGAACTAAAAGAAATAAAAGATAAAAATAAAATAAAAACTAAAACCGCTACTTGGAGTAAAAATGAAAACAAAAAAGGCATTTTCATCTAAATAATAAGAGGGGATTATTATGTAAACTCTGGAAACATCGGGATAAGGGGTGTCATTATTTCGTCCTTAGTCCGGCTAGCCACTCGTACCTCACGTGGCTTTCTCGCATGACCTGTTGCGGACGTCTCTCGTCCTCGAGCCTACTGTCCTGTGCATACTAGCGTGGCGCCCGATCATCTCGACCAGCTTGACCCTCATCATCGTTCCGTCGCCCCGCGTCGCGCGTGACCCGTCTCGTGCTCCTGCATCCCGTATTCTAGCCCATGCACGTCTTTTTGGCCATGTACATTTTGACCTCATGCGATAAGCCCGAGGCCATGCGTGTGTCCACGGCTCACGTCGTCTTCCTCGTGAACCTCGCATACGGGCTCGTACCCGTCTTTTAGGCCATGCATACACGGTTTTGGCCTTTTTCTCGTTCTTCTCGGGCCGCCTCGGCCCATGGTCCTTCCCCAATCCCACCTCCTGATAGAAAAGATCTATTATATGCCATTTCGGCATAACGCTTTGCAAAGGAAAAGTGGGCAACCCCAACTCGCCTTCGAGGGTCGAGACCCGCATTCTCATCACACCCACAATGCATTGGGTCATTCAATAAAATATCATATGCCATGTAGGAAATAGATTTAGTTTATAAAAAAATGTCTTCTAATGCAATTAAAATTGGACATGGTCTAGTTTATGTGCCAATAGAAAAAAGAGACTAAATCTACACTTGGGTCTATTTTGAACCCAAGTACAAACCTAAACACTAATCATTTATTCCTAATTTAATTTTTCTTTTAATAAAGGAACATATTAGAACATTTTTATTGGTTGACATGTATGCTAGACCTAGTATTTTATTTTTAACATTGAATAGCTTTGAGTTTTTTTACTTGGGTTTGTCCATGTCATTTAGGACTTAAGTCCATTTATATGCCACATATGTAAAATTAGACCCAATGCATTGTGGGTGCTCTAAGAGAGAGATAATATATACCAGATTAGTTTATACATAATATATACAGAATATATTGAACATATACGCCATATATACGCAACATATATTGTCATTACCAGTTCAAAAAAAAAAATAGAATAAAGAAAGCTGATCGCGGAGCCTCTCTGATACTTCGACCATATAACTGCTCTCAATCTCAGTCAACTCCTCTGATACTTCGACCTTCATCCACACCTCTGCCTCCGTCTGCCTTCGATAATCGAGACTGTCCTTCGCCTTCGTACTCCACTCCGGCTTCTGCCTTCGAGGATCAAGATAGACTTTCGCCTCTGCCGTCGAAGTCCACCTTCGAGAATTGAGCCCGCTTTCCCCGTCTCCATAAAATCCTATTTTTTTCGTCTCCATCGATCTCCTTTTTTACAATTTTTTTTTTCCTTTTTTCTTTTTACAGTTTAAAAGTTATTATAACATGTTTTTAATTGGAGAGATAAAATTTAATAGCTAGTATAATTGCAAAAAATAAATAAATGATTAGTAAATTTGCAAATTTTATTGCTTTGTATGCCAGGTGGTGTAATCTCCTCTTATTCTTAAGTAGGGTCTTCATTTCTTTTTCTGGCCCAAGCAGAAGTATCCCCGCCCACATCCCTTCCCGTAGCGCAGCTTAGCCCTAGCTCAACAGCGTGATTTCCGGCCAACTCACTCCCGTTTCTCCCCCAGCAAGCCCTAAAGGTCCCTCTATTTAAGCATCTCCAAAAGCTCAGCCGCAGCTCCAATTTCACGGCAATCACGTCATCCGATCTCGAGCAGCAAGCCGCGACCTTGAGCTCCAATTTCCGGCGAGAAGACGAACGGCGACCCTCAACCTCCGACGTCGAGCCGCGACTCCAACCGGATCAGCGGCGAGGCGATCCACCAGGTGCGAGAGCCACCAGTTTGACGGCGAGCCGAGCAGAGGCGACTGACGAGCGCCCAAGCACTGAGAGGAAACCCGGTTTCCCGGAGAGTTCCAGGCGACCAAGAATTTTCTCCGACGAGGAGATTTGAGCGCACCCGAGCGCATCAATTCCAGAGGAGGAGAGCCGAGCTGATTTTCGGCGACAGGACGAGCCCTGTTTTCCGACGAGCGCCGCGGCCGGAGAACCACCACTCGTCGGCTGAAGCAGAGCCACTTCCAGGCGACACCGGCGAGAACTCGCGCAGCATAGGGGAGAGAGAGACTTTGCCGCAGCCGAGCACTGGTACGGCAGCCGAGAAACCGAGACCTCCCAGCCGTCCAGAACCAAACTTAGTCCATCTGGGAGCATACGGGGCTGAGCTTCGACCACCCGAGGCTGAAACGAGCGAGCTACGCCGAGAGCTTTTGCTTCAGCCATTTGAGCCTCGCGTCCAAACTGAGCCATCCTTTGCCTTTGTTCTTTGGCCCAAAGAGAGGTATCTTAAGCCGAGCCTTTCACCCTCCCTTTGGCCAAGCCTAGTTGATAATTATTGCTTATGTTTCAGTTTTCAGAAAGGAGTTTAAGCTTGTCGAAAATGATGAAAAGTTAGGAAGAAATGCATGTTAATTGATGTTTGTATCTTGTTGAAATTGGCATAATATATTCGGCCTGATGCTGAGCCTGTTGGAGTGTCTGGTATGTCGAATATGTATACTTAATTCAGTGTGTGTTGAGCTTTAGATTCAGGTTAGTTAAGGTGGTCAAAAGCATGCTTATCTCTATCAAAGCTGAAGGGAGAATATTTTTTTTAGCATTATGGCTTGGGTTCTAAATACGGTTTTGAGCCTTGTTTTAAGCCGTGTTGTTAGTTGAGTATTGCTGCCCTTATGAACTACTTAAGAGGGTAAAGTTTTATTCTTTAAAGTGTTAAAAACTAGGATCTAAGTTTTAAGATTTAAGAAGAGCTTGGTTAGTGTTTTGTTTTCCTTGTTATTTATGTGTTGTTTTGCCTTTTTTATGCCTTGGGTTTGGTTTGGATATTTTGATCTATCAGTTTGTCTTGCATGAGTTTATTTTGCATGAGCTTATGCTTTATTTATGAGTAAGAACAGTTGAGAAGCAAGTTCCCATTAAACACTTAAGTTAGCTAACTTAAGTTGAGATCAGAGAAGAACAGTTTCAGTAAAGTTAAGAGTTAGAAAATTTCTGTGCTGTATTTGCGTTTAATTGTCTTAATTGTCTTGTTTGTCTTATTTGCCTTATGTGTTTAATTGTCCTTGCTTGACCTGAATTGTTCTTGCTTGTCTTGTTTGCCTATTTGTCATCACCTTTAAATAATAAGATAAGAATTATTTTTATTTTTAAATCGTAGGAGTCGAATCTCGAGAGCTGTGAGAGCTGTTCCGAGTGACGTCAGCTACTCTTCAGCACTTTTTCCTCGCATCATCAGATATCAGGTGGGGGTTCTATACTATGATTTATTCTGTATAAACATGTGGTAGTATAGTTTTTACATGCATGATTGTAGGGCGGTGGGCCGAATGTGCTTTATGAGAATTTACTTGGAGACTTGAAATAAGAGTCTAAGCTGGGTAATTATTAGTGAGTAAGCAGTTAAGTTTTCTACAAGCGGGATCGGTTGATGCCGAATGCACTAGTAGAGTGCGGGATCGGCGGAAGTCGAATGCACTAGGAAGTGACCATACCAACGTTCATGAACTTAGGTTAACGGCGTATAATAGCTAATCAACCGGGTAAATTATGGAGGCTTGAAATAAGAGTCACTAGTCCGAATTTACATAGAGGCTTGAAGCCGGGATGATATGAGTCAGTGGTGAGACAGTAAGCTTTACATGTTCATATAATTGTTATCCTATCTGTGCTTATATCGAATCGATGCATATTATGGTTCCTTCACTGGGTAAGTGTAATGCTCATCCCTTTTTGTTTCCTTGATCAAGTTGGTGCCAGTCGCAATGGCGAGGGTGGTCGTTTATGTATGGTTTTAAGTTATTTACGAACTTTGAGACAAGTTATATGTTTTTATATTTCCGCTAAATGTTTATGAAAACCTTTATTAGACGAATGTCTTAGACACTGTTATATTTTCCAAATTGTTTAAATGTGATGGAAATTTTAATTATGCTTTGTTTGTTTGAAAGGAAAAAGCTTTCGAGTAATGCCCGAATAATAGATTTTAGAAAATGTTTTCCAAATAGGTTCAATTTATTTCTGAAAAATCTTGTTCTTTCTTAAATAAATAACCGGGGTGTTAACATATAGTTTTGTGTGAGCTTTAAAACCCTAAACCTAGTTCCCAAAATTCCCTTGTGCAGAAACTAAAAAGAAAATAGCTTTATATTGAAGTTTAAGTTCCCCGTTAAGAGACCACAAGTTCATGGTGTAGTTCTTAGTATTCGTTTGCTAATTTGATTTGCAATGTATTTTGGTGTGTTCAGGTTCATCTAATGGGGAAGAAAAATTCTATAAAGATGCCAGAGAGTGATTGCGATTTGGGAATCGACAGTGACATGCAGGATGGAATTATGCATGTTGGATCAACTCCCTTTTTCCAATTTTTGTAGGTTTATGATTTTTTTTTTTGTGGCAGTTCTTTTTTCTGAACCTTCTTCTGTGTTTCTTTCCCTGAATTTAAGGTGGGTAACAACGAGAATAGCGACCTCGATATTCGTGATGAGTATTCAGATTTGGATGACCAGAATGAAGATGATTATGATGATGAGGAGGAGGATGAAGATGGTGCTGTTAATAATGATGACGATGAGGACGAGCAAAATGAAGAGGAAGGCTCATAAAAGGGCCATGGTGGAGAAAGCGAAGACAAAAATGTTCTGAAAGGGGAGGAGATGGAAGAGCTTGAGAAAGAGTATAGAGAGCTTAGAAATAGGGAGCAGTAAGTATACTGAGCTGCCTTCTCTAATATTTGCTTTGTGTCCTTCAATTAGTTTCTTTCTGGACAATAATTAAACTGTGATTCGAGGCTACATTCTTAGAAACTTTTAACTGTTTAACCAAGTCACAAAGTGCATAATAATGGAAGAATTACTTTAATAGTTGAAAAGAGCAATGATTCAATTGCAATTACTAGTAAAAATTAAAGCGCTTATTACCTGGAGAGGTCTTTGTTTGTTCATAATGGGTTGGAAATAGATGTTTATGAAAAATGTAGACAAGTAGCTCATTCCTATAAAGCTCTTTTTGTTACTCTGTACCTGTTCTTTTGAGAAATCTTAATATATTTCGTTATGCTAACTCACTCTTGGTTTATGACTACAGAAATTTGTGGAAGAATTTGAAGTGCCATAAGGATGAGGATCTTCAAAAAGGTCAAGCTGTGAAAAACCAAAGGGTATGACATCATCGGATCCTTACATTTTCCTTATCTGTATCATTCTTTCCCTGAATTTTTACGTCTGAATTTGATTTCTCTAGTTATATATCCAAAGATCTTTTGCTAGCTTAATTTAAGATTATATTTTAGTTCTTATGAAAACTTTAGGTTGTGTTTGTATATCAAAAAACTCAATTCATACTCAAAATCTAACTCTAACTCTACTATCCTCAATATTATCAATATCCTCAATATTATCAATATAATAAAATAATTCCAACTAATCATTCTTACACATCACATCAACTTTAATTTACTATTCATCCACTCACATAATTTTCACTAACCATCACTTCACACAATCTCTCTCCTACTTTTACATCAAATCAAATCAACTTTAATTATTTTATTTTAAATATTATTGTTATATAAATTCAAAATTCCACTAACAACTAACCATACCACTCTTTTCAAAAACTCATTTTCAGCGTATATATTTGTATACAAACATGCCCTTAGTTTTTTTGGTGGTCTTTATTTGGGATTGTGTCACTTGTGTTTTCTGAACTAGCAAGAAGAGAACTGTGTTGTCTTTCTGTATTGTTGTTTTTCTCCCCCTACCTTAGTTCCTTGCTGGTCTAGCTGTCTGCTTTTATTTGTTCATTTTCATCATGCCATACTGAGTGCTTATATTGATATACTCGTCCATTTTTGCTTTATTAGGCTCTCTGGGACAAGACACTGGAATTCAGATTCTTGGTGCAAAAACCTTTTTCAAGTTGCAACAGACTTCCACAGGTTTGATATGAAAACCAATCCATTCTAGATGCCATTTGATAGTGTTTAGTGCACTTAAACATCATAACCGAAGAAAAATGTTATGTGAAGGAACCAGTGAGGACTTTATTCTGTGGCATGGATAGTGATGCCAGTGAAGCATATTCAGATTTGATTGATTCCTCAAAGAAGACCTTGGATTCTATACTGGAATTACAACAGGTTGGATAGTGTTGGAAGTACTTCATCACCTTATAGCTTCCCTTGCAATAGTATTCCAGTTACTTAATACAATTTTTCTTGCAAGGGTATCTGTGCCTGTTATGTTCTTTTTTTTCTTTTCTTGAAGTTAACTGAAATAAATTTTGGCAGGCATTGGAGGCAAACAATCCAGCAATTACTCAATGTGGAGAAGGTATGAATGTTAGTTTACATTTCCTTTTTCCCATCTTTTCTCAGAAGGAAGCATGTTTCCAGTAATGTCTCCGAACTTTGTGGTGGAAGGCCCGAAGTTTAGCCTCACATGAAGTGATATGAACATTATTTTATTGTATAGCAGCACATAAGAATTCCCTTTAAAGCTTCCTTTTTTATCTTTTGTCCTATGACCTTAATAATATTATACCTCCCAAGGCAGTCTATATAGAAAGCCCACACAAGTTGCAAAATATGCAACCCTGTTTCCAGTGAACCAAATTATTTGTAAAGACTTTCACTTTTCATAATTCAAGATGCACAGCTTGAAATCTAATGTTTAATGTACTTCAAGATCCAAGTGCATTAGAAGTAACCTTCCATTATTAACCTGTTTCCTTAGGCCAATGACCATGAATTTCTGTTTTTTTCGGCACCCCAAAAGAAAATAAAATATCTAGAGAATAGAGATAACGACTGTCCATGTGATTTTATTTTTATCCTGACACAACTTTGTTGGTTTTTTTAGGTAACTCTTTGAGAGATTCCAAACAATTAGGTGCTTCCGGTGACTCAAATGGGGATATTGATGAAGAGTGGCTGAAGATTTCTCAAATGCAATCAAGGTACTTCAATTACACCCCTACTCTCACCCCAATAAAGAAAAAGAACGATGCTTTCTTTCGTCAATCCTCATCACCTTTATCTGCCAGCTATACTCTGGAGATAAGGCATAGACTGGATTTGCTAATTGTCTGAGGCTGGCAATTAATAGTTATATAATTATTTCCCATACTTTAATCAGCTTTTCTTATGTCTTGTAATTGATGACTGTCGCTGCAAGGCGAGGGAGAAACTTGTCTGATCAAAAGCATTTTTTTTCTGACAAAATCAACCAATAGGAGCACTTTGATTTAAAGAATTGTTCAGTTGATGTATTATTTCAACGAGTTATAAATAGACAATATTTTAATTATCACTATCTTGGCTATGATGGTGTCGTGCTTGTGACTAATGTTAAATTGTGTTGTGGGGTAGAATGGGCACTTTTAGAAACAAATCAATTGATAAATGGCAGAGGAAGACCCAGGTGACAACTGGTGCAGCTGCCATCAAAGACAAATTGCATGTCTTTAATCAGGTTTCCTTTGAGACTGCTAAGATTATTTTATGGCATAATATGTACCAATAGAAGATCTGATGATTTAACCCTTCAGAGTATAAGTGAACAAGTTGCTGCATATGTGCGAGATCCTAGTAAAATGATTAAAGGGATGCAGCAGAATAGAGCAGCTGTTGCTGTATTTGGAAATGTAAGTTTGAAACTAATTCTTAGCTTGTTTTAGGAATGATTAATACCTTGCTCAATATTGACAAATTTGAATACGTTTAATATTTTATATGTTTTCTATATATGTATGAATTTCTTATGTTTCATTTGCTTTCAGCAGGCTCCAGAATCTACAGAGAATATGAAACAATAGGTATTGCTTCATTTATGTTGATATGCTTCTCAGCTGAAGTTTTCTAAGTCACATTAGATTATCATTGTCTCTAAAGATTACCATTCTATGCTGAAATCCTATTTCTCCTGCCCATGGATGTTTAGGCTATTAATTAACATTTTTATTCAGTTGTTGTCATACTTCTGCATTATTTGGGATTAAATGATATTGCTATGAGAAGAAGATATGTGGAAAATGAGTACCTTTATCCTCTGAACGGGTCATTTTAACTTGTTGGACTTGGAAAAATCATCCTGTGGGAGAATGGTTCCTTGGCTTCATAAGTTATCATTATATTATTTATAACTTGTGATAATGTGTATCTGAATTTAATCCTCTTAGACTAACCATCCCAACATGCCTTCAAAGTGGTTTTCTGGTCATGCTTAACTTGAACTTCATAAATACTATTACCAGGAATCTTATGTGAGTGGTGACCCTGAACTTTTGGATGACTCGGAATTTTACCAGCAGCTACTGAAAGAGTTCTTTGAGACAATCGACCCTTCATCATCTGGTATTTATTGGTTAAAGCTTGGTCACTACTTTCTAATCTATAAAGATACAGGAAAAATATATATTTTTTGTATCACATGCCTTGCAACTGTTATGTCAATATTTCGAATTTTTACATAGTTGATAAGATATTGGGTATTTATAAAATTTTCTTATGCTTTCTGTTGGTTTCAAGGGTTTGGCTTCTTTGGAATTAGTTATTGCAAACTTTTGTTGGGTCATATTATCACTAGAAAAAGTATAAAAGAAAAAAAAAACGCTACTTTTAGTACACCATGGGATTTTATGAAAGCAATTAAAATAAAAATTGACGTCATTATGCCTGGTCTACTACATTCGATGAAAATAGTGTATCAAATTGGTGTTTTATTGAAACAACTGGTTCTGTTTCATTTTCATTGAATTGCATATCAAGTAGTCATTATTCTTTGTAACTCATGAATGTGAATTCTTCCTGCACCTTTTCGACATCTCATTTTAAGTAAGAAAAGTACGACAACGCTAAATATAAACATGAATAATAATGAGTCGACATTGCCAAAATATGTTCTTGCTGTTGCAGAAGCGGCATTCTATGCTCTGAAAAGATTGCAAACTAAGAAGAGAAAAATCGTTGACCGTCGTGCTTCAAAGAGTCGCAAGATCAGGTAAGTTTAACTTTTACTTTTATGGGACAGTATATATATGTCTTAGGCTCTTTCTTCAGCTGCATCCAAGGCATCCCAATTTGGACTTCTTTGTCCCTTACATGATTTTTTATTCAGGTATCAGGTGCATGAAAAGATTGTCAATTTCATGGCCCCTCAGCCCATGAACCTCCCACCTATGGCCCCTAAATTATTCGAAAACTTGTTTGGGCTTAGAAACCTGAAACCTGCATCAGGGGCATAACCAACTATTTCTACGTCTTGTACTCATGGATTTTGCTGTAATCAGACAACTTCAAAGACATATATGCCACCAAATGGAGCGCGACTTGTTGCAACATTTACTTAAAACAGTATACAACATCACCACCCATTGGCAACTGCGCATATTTTGAGGGGATCATTTCGTGTTCTTTGTTGGCCATACATTATTTAGAAAGCTTAAGATTTTGCCCTTCCATTACACTTGCTTTTGAAATTCGTAACATTTTGTTGTATTTAACAAACTTGTGCTTTTCTAGTTGAATGAATCTTTCCAAACTATTTTTTGGCTTTGCAGACTTATATTGTGGTACTAACCGCCACTCAAAGTGTAAATAATTGGTATATTGAGATCACAAAAGCTGGGGATTTGAGTTGGAGCCCACTTGCTAAGACCTGCAAAATATCAAGAGCAGCGTTTGTTAGCCCAGATTAGATGAGATTCACGCCCTTATCTACCCTTAAACATTGGCCCGACAGATTCTACACCACGACAGAAGTTAAATGGGAAATTTTGAAGTATGCTACACGATTTTAAAGTAATTGCAACATTACACTTCATACCAATTTAATTGTGTCTATACGTAATAGGCAAAAATTAATAATAATTATACCTAAAATCAGTTACAGATAGTGGAACAACCATTCCATGTTTGTAGCGCAAGATTTTAGGAGCGAAGATGGAAAGATAATCTTGATACAGACAGAAAAAAAAAAACACGCCGGCGAACCAGAAAAAAGTTCACGGAAGATTACAGGAAGAACAAGTTCACGGTACATATTGATCGATCGGAGATTCCAGGAAGAACAAGTTCACGGTACATATACTTCAAGAATAAGCTAAACCGGAGGATTACAGGAAGAACAATTTCACGGAAAAATATACCTCACCACAACACAACAGAACACAAAAATATACCGAAAATATACCTCAACACAACACAATTTCACGGAAAATATACCGGAAAATATACCTCAACACAACACAAAATATACCGAAATCATCCGAAATTATCCTGAATCGACCGTGTGATTATCTCCGCGAAATCGTCGATTCTTCTGCGGTCTTCGCCCTCGTTTCTCGCCTCCTGGGCCGCTGCCGCCGCTGGATCGTGACTTTTCGTCTTGCTCCGCCGCAGGATCGAGAGGAACGACGGCGTTTTGGAAGGCGCGCGGAGGAAGGGGATCGCGATGGATTTAGATCGGTGGAGTGAGGGGGAGGTGGACGGCGGCGCTTGGGCGGCGCAATTGCAGGGGCGCACGTTGGCGCAGATTGGGCAGAGGATGGCGAGGCGGTCGCGGAGGCAGACGGGGCAGATGCCGTTAATTTAATTTATCCGTAACCTACGCCCAATCTCCCTTAATTATCTGATATAACTGCAAAATTATCACTTTAGGTATATTAGCAAATTTTTATGCTTATTTTTGTAATTACATAAATATTAAATTAAGGGACGTAAATTTATAATATATTGAGGAAGGGGAAGTAAAGGGTGCAATTTCCTCAAGTTAAATAGCGCGTTTCACTGACTAATGAATCCAGCTTCATGTGGCAAGACAAATGCTATCTACACAGTAGCCTCAATATCAATATTTACAAATATCCCTAATATTTTATATTTTTGAAGATATCTCATTCTTATGCTGCAAAAATTACAACAAAACCGATTCTACCTAACACCTCCCGAAATGCAGTTGATTGCCATTATTGACGCCCCTCCTTAGAAAGAAAGTGCTCATTGTTCATCTGTTCTCACTAGTAGTGGTGTTCATCTTCGACAAAACAACTTCTTACTGACTGCGGACAAGTATGTCGATGCGGTTCTCAATGTTCCTTATCTCTCTCTCTCTATGAAATTTCACATTCTATTACATGTGTTGAAGTCCGAGAGCCTCTATTTTACGATGTAGCTGCTTACCATTTTTATCAATTGTAACCGAGTGAGATGTGGCCTAAAGTTTCCGAAAACCTAAAGCCGTTCTGCCCCTTCTTTTTGCAGACATCGAGCGGTGCCGTTTTTCCTAGTGGTTGTTATTCCTGAAACCCTGAGGTACGATATATGTCCGAAATCCGAATACATGAATTTTTGGATGTTTTTTCGTATATAATTCCTCAATAGTGAGTTTCATTTGTGCCATGAACTTTCTATATCTTGTATAAATTGAAGTACTTGGTTAATTTAATATTCTTTTATTGTAATATATTTGTTAATTAAAGTGTTTCGGATAACCGTATAGTCGAACTAATGGAATATGAACTTCACGAGTTATGTTAATTGAAGTATTTCGGATAACTGTATAGCTGAACTAATGGAATATGAACTCCACAAGTTATGCATTAGTATCAAGTGTTAGTAGATGAATAAGTGAAGTACAAAATTACTATAATGATTTAATATTCTTTTATTGTAATATATTTGTTAATTAAAGTATTTCGGATAACCGCATAGTCGAACTAATGGAATATAAACTTCACGAGTTATGCATTAGTATCAGGTGTTAGTAGATGAATAATTGAAGTACAAAATTACTATAATGATTCAATATTCTTTTATTGTAATCTATTTGTTAAAGTAATTCGGATAACCGTTCAGTCGTACTAATGGAATATGAACTCCACGAGTTATGAATTAGTATCAAGTGTTATTAGATGAATAGTCGGAGTACAAAATTACTATAATGATTTTTTTTTTTTGGTACAATATCTCTGCAGTTTTAGTTTCGTTTATAAGATCAGATAGACGATTAATTACAACCTAACTACCAAATAATTCGATATTATCCACAAATATTTTTTTTTCCACCGATAGAGACACTCTTATTTCACAGCATAATGCTAATAAAATAGTACAGATACAATCCGATCACAAGCCACAAACGGCTAAAAGAAAAAATACACTGGGAGGTACACCTCATGGTGACCTAGAAACACACAAATCAATCTTTGTAAGGGCAGGACTACAAGCCTGAATCACACAGAAATAACCCGCAATAGACAACTACCAATCAACAACCAAACATAAATACAAGAAGGAGAGAAAAAACCAACAACACAACTAAAAAAACAAAAACTAAAACAACAGCAAACACAACACCATACTAACTAAAACAATAGAACCAAACCAAAAGAGGTTGAAAAGCAAGTCAGATCCCCACCTGAGCCGAGGAGAAATGCTGCCACTCCAACCCAGCTCTCTTCACAGTGATGAGTTCTGACTGCTTCTGACTTTGGAACAACCATAAGTTACGGGATCGCCATAACCACCATAATATATAGGTAGTTAGTTGGATCCGAGCCTCAGATATTTCAGATCTATCTGTTTCACACACCTGCCACCACCATTGTTTAAAGTTGCATGATTCTGCATGGATTCCATCCCAGTCCACAGGTGACATTTTCCAAATTTTCTTTGCCCTACTACAAGTAAGTAACAAATGCTCAACCGTCTCATCCTGTTCCCCGCACATCCTACAGGTAGCCTCAATTTTCACTCCTTTTGGTATGAGATTTGTACTTACAGGCAAAACATCATTGACACATTTCCATATAAAATGCTTTAATTTGCCTGACACTCTTAACTTCCAACTCCTCTCTCTGATTTTCCAATCTGTTAGTGCACTGGTACTTCCTTCAGGATGATCAAGCTTCTTCTCATAATGTTTGAATAAGAACTAGCCACTGAGAAATTACCAGAGGGTTCAAGTTTCCATTTCCAACAGTCCTCCTTTGAAGGATCAAGAGTGTTGATCTGTAGTATAGCTTTACTGTCCTCCTCAGATAATAGCTCTTGAATCAGTCCCCTATTCCATCTGGTTCCTCCATTCCACAACAAATCCTGCACCCAAATCACCTGAAGAAGCTCATTGTTCTGTACCAAAGGCACTCTCATTCCAATAGAAGGCACCCACCCCATATCCTTTATTTTGGTAGTTCTTCCATTTCTGATTACCCTGCACATTCCTTTTGCCAGCTCAGGTATGCACTCAACCCAACAATTCCATAGCCATGATGAAGTGCTCTTTTTTGTTGCCTAAAAAATAGAAGATTGAGTGAAGTACTTTGCTTTCAAGACTTGACTGATGAGTAGATGAGGTTGTAGAGTAATTCTCCACAGTTGTTTTACAATTAGAGCCACATTGAAGAGTTGAATATCCATAAACCCCAATCCACCATACTTCTTTGGCTGAGTAATGAAATTCCAGTTCCTCCAATGTATTCCTCTTTCCTTCTCTATGCCTTTACTTCACCAAAACGATGCAGTAAACTGTGAAATCTGTTTGCAAATACCCACTGGAAGTCTAAAATAAGACATAGAGAAAACTGGGAGGGAATTCAAAACTGCCTTGATTAACACCTCTTTGCCACCAATTGAGAAGAACTTATTCTTCCAATTGATTATCTTACTTTTCACTGCTTGCAGGACATACTCAAATGCATCTTTCTTTGATTTTCCAATACCCAAGGGGAGTCCCAGGTACCTTGTAGAGGTATGCACTTGGATTCCATTCAAGATTCTACAAATAGCATGCTGCACCACTGGCTGGGTATTTTTGCTAAAGAAAACAGATGACTTAGCCCAATTAACTTTCTGCCTAGAGAATAGCAGGTAAGAATGCAAAACATTCATCAATAAAATAGCTTGTCCCTGCTCAGCCTTACAAAACACTAGTGAATCATCTGCAAAGACGAGATGAGTCAGTGTTGGACCACCTCTAGCAAGCCTCAATCCTCTGAATTCTCCCAACTCAGAAGCCACTTTTATCAAAGAAGACAACAATTCTGATATGATGAGGAAAAGATAAGGGGACAAAGGGTCCCCTTGTCTAAGTCCTCTGGAAGGGGTAATATACCCAACAGCTTGACCATTGAGCAGAAATGAAAAAGAAGTAGATGAAACACATGCCATCACCCATTTAATGAACAGCCTATCAAATCCCATTTTAGCTATAGTACTTCTAAGTCCCTCCCACTCCACTCTGTCATATGCTTTCATCATGTCCAGCTTTAAAGCCATAAGGCAATGATTACCTGATCTATGTCTATTCAAAAAGTGAAATGATTCTTGAGCAATGACCACATTATCAAGTAATTGTCTCCCAGGAATAAAGGCTGATTGAGATGGACTAATGCAAGCATTCAGACTCCTTTTCAGTCTATTAGCCAAGAGTTTGAAAATAATTTTATACACCACTGTGCAAAGGCTAATCGGTCTGTAGTGATTCAGGGATGTGGGGTTTCAAATTTTTGGAATGAGAGCCACCAGAGTATGATTCCAATACCTGAGTAATTGACCTGATGAAAAGAAGCTCAGCACTGCATCACACACCTTCTGCTCAGTAATGCTGGTAGAAAAGAGCAGTGAGCCCTTCCTCTCCAGGTGCTTTGATGGGACATCCAAAAGATTT